TTTTGGTGTATTTTGAGCTCAAGAGAGTAAGGAAAGATGAGTCTCTGAAAATGCCATGTGAAAAAGGATGACAATGGACTTTAGGAAAAGAAAGATAATTTGGGGCAGGATAAGGTGCCTGCCCAGCAAGCACAAAGATCCAAGATTGGAGCCCCAGCGCCTACGTAAAAGCCAGGCAGGCAGAGAGGCCACCTGTAATTTCAGTACTAGGGGTTTGAACACTAGGGAAAGCTGGGTAGCAGGACTAGGAGGAAGCAGTACAGTCTAAGCTCAGTGAGAGATCCTGCCCCAATAAATAACACTAGAGACTGACCCATACACATACACAGACATGTCCACTCAGATATATAACACGTACACGCAGAATGCAAACAAAACTGACTTCAGTTATGAGTTATTAGACATGAATAATAGGTCTTAAACCAAGGCAAATTAAGAGTTCATTGAAGTAAATACCTTGCTCATGAGGAATGAGATGAGGTAGCGACCCTTCTCTCCAATAAAGATGTTATTCAATGTGCCGTGTCACCTAGCTGTTACATCCATGGCTCTGTGGTCACACCACCAGAAATTGAGTCCAGACTTTCCTAGTTGGACTGTGTAACTTAGGAGGAAGTAACAGAGCATTTCCAGGCTCAACTTTTCTCATCATTAAAATGGGAGTGATAATAGGATCTATGCATTGGGTTAGTTTCAAAGATTAAAGCCTACTATGCATAACAGTAACTGCCATATGATAAGCTGTGGGCAAATGTAAGCAGTCTGTTTTAATCTTTAAAGAAACACTGTTCTGGATACTGGGGCAGTGAGGGGGGTGCCCATTTTGCTGTGGAATTTGCTCTGACCAGTTGATAGCTTAAGTTACTTGATACGTAATGACTTCTTTTATATCCTTCATCTCAGACAGAAGAAGAGGTGGTTTATTGTACACATATTATAAACACCAGATATATATCAGCTACAACTGAGAACATGACAGCTAGTCCAGAATGTCACAGGTTCAGGGTACAGGACCCCCTAGGGATTGTGATGTTAAAAGCAAAGTCTGTCTCTCAGGTGGTCCTAGTGATCAGACGGCAATGGAAGTTGTCGATCCGTTGCTGACAGACATATTCAGCCTGCTAATTCTAGCAGTCAGTTGCATGCCTTGACTTCCATGGCTGCACAATTTAGCAGTTCACATGGGCCTTGCTCTTCTGTTTTTGCCTTTCATTCGGAGCATTCCCTTGGCTCTCACTGCACACAAGTCTCATGATATTTGGGAGACATCTTAATGACTTCAAATATTAAGTTGAGGACCAGCATATGAAGTAATATTTCTTTCAGCATTTCCACACTGGCTTTGGTCCTACTGATCTTTCTTCTTTCCATCCCTCCTCTCTGGCCATCCTCCCCACTTTTCCCTCTTTAGATTTCATGTCACAGATATTTTATCATCCTCTTTTCCCCTTCTCTCCAGCCTTCTGTTAAGACTTCTCCCATCCCAAATGGTTCCCTTTCTAGTTTCATGGTCTATACCCACATACATGTGTATTTCTATACACAAATAAAGCTGGAAGCTGGGAACTGCATTATGAGAGACAACATGCAGTGTCTGAGTCTGGGTCACCTCATGTAAGATATATTCCCAGTCCTATCAATTTTTCTGTAAGCGTCACAATATTTTTTTCTTTATGGATTAAGCTATGTTGTGTGTATGTAAAATATTTCATTATCCACTCATGAATCAGCAGACATCTAGTCTGATTTCATTTTCTTGATTTTGCAATTGGGTAGGCAATAAAGATGAATGCATATGTTTCTCTGTGGTAGAATAAGGGGTCTTTTGGGTTGAAGAGTTGTCTATGTTACAGAATTGCATAGCTGAACTATGTGGTTCATTTCTTTTTTTAAAAAAATTATTTTATTAATTACACTTTATTCTCTTTGTATCTCCCCATTACCCCCTCCCTCCTTCCCTCCCAGTCCCACCCTCCCTCTCCCTTCTTCACTTATGCCCCTGCCCAAGTCTACTGATAAGGGAGGTCCTCCTCTCCTTCCTTCTGACCGTAGTCTATCAGATCTCATCAGGAGTGACTGCATTGTCATCTTCTGTGGCCTGGTAAGGCTGCTCCCCCCTCTCAGGGGAAGGTGATCAAAGAGCAGGCCAATCAGATTATGTCAGAGGCAGTCCCTCATCCCATTACTATGGAACCCACTTGGACACTAAACTGCCATGGGCTACATCTGTGCAGGGGTTCTAGGTTATCTGGTACTTGGTTGGAGTATGAGTCTCTGGGAACACCCCTGTGTTCAAATTTTCTGATTCTGTTGCTCTCCTTGTGGGGTTCCTGTCCTCTCCAGTTCTTACTATTTCCCACTTCTTACATAAGATTCCATGCACTCTGCCCAACAGTTGGCCATAAGTCTTAGTGTCTGCTTTGATAGTCTGCAGGGCAGAGCCTTTCAGAGGCCCTCCGTGGAGGGTTTCTAGGTTGTTTCCTGTTTTCTTCTTCTTCTGGTATCCATCCTCTTTGCCTTTTGGGATGGGGATTGAGCATTTTAGTCAGGGTCTTCTCTCTTAACTAGTTTCTTTAGATGTACAGATTTTAGAAGGCTTATCCTGTTATATGTTTATATGAGTGAGTATATACTGTGTGTGTCTTTCTGCTTCTGGGACAGCTCACTCAAGGATGATCCTTTCCAGGTCCCACCATTTACCTGCAATTTTCATGATTTCCTTATTTTTCATTTCAGAGTAATACTCCATTGTGTAGATGTACCACAATTTCTGCATCCATTCTTCAATTGAGGGGCATCTGGGCTGTTTCCAGCTTCTGGCTATTACAAATAAAGCTGCTACAAACATGGTTGAGCAAATGTCCTTATTGTGTACTTGAGCCTCTTTTGGATATATGCCTAGGAGTGGTATATGAAACCTCAGCATTGGGTCTTGCAGCGCTATACCAGTTTACACTCCAACCAAGAGTGAACAGGTTTCTTCTTTCCTCATGGCCTTGCCAGTCTTTGCTATCACTTGCTTCCTGGATGGTAGTTGTTCTTACTGGGTGAGGTAGAATCCCAAAGAAGTTTCCATTTGCATCAGTATGTTGAATGCCTTTTAAAAAAAATTTTTGTCTACTGTAGGGAGTGGAGGCAGCCCTCAGTGAATGTGCAAGGACAGATGTGTATGTGTTAGACATGGGAATTTGTATGAAACAAGTGAAGTCTTGAGTGAATTTGTATTGTTGAACATGGGCACAGCTGTGTCAAGGACCCAGTAACTCCAACCTTTGCCCAGTAAAGCTCAGAAGAGATGGCAGAAGCTTCCTTTGGAGCAAAGACAAATGTTGGTAATGTATGTAAAAACTGTCATCCACGGCTTTCTTTTCTAGGATGACTGCAGCCTGAGACTGGCCCCCTATAGAGTCCCCCCATAGATTCCTGTGGAGACCTACCTTGTTGTTCAGCTCTTGAAATAACTCTGCTCCCTTTTTGTCTCAAAATCCTTGTTCATCTGCATGCATCAACTCCATCTTCCTGTTCAACTGTATGTAGTAAGCACCCTGAGCTTCTCTATCCAAAAGCTCAGCCCACTCAATCCCAGCCTTCTCTATCCCCGTGTCTGTAACTGTATCTGTATCTGTATCTGTATCTGTATCTGTATCTGTATCTGTATCTGTATCTGTATCTGTATCTGTATCTGTATCTGTATCTATATCTGTATCATCTGTCATTGCCCCTGTCAAGGTTCTGGAACCATAGCTATGCAATGACATAGCAATTGACCATCTGTATTTCTTGTTTTGAGAACCCAGTACTCAAATCCTTAACCCATTTTTAATTAGGTTGTTTACTTACTGTTTTGTTTTCACTAGTTTTTTGTGTATTTCTGCACATTAGTACACGTCAGATGTATAGCTGGAAAACTTTTCTTTCTGTAGGCAATTTCTTCATTCAAACTGCTTTATAGAGAGTTTTTGATATAATAAAGTGCCATTTTTCTTGCTTTTATTTCCCGAGGAATTAGTGTCCTATTAAAAAAGATTTTTGGACAGGTTCACATTCCCACCAGCAATGGAGGAGGGTTCCCCTTTCTCCATATCCTCTCCAGCATGTGTTGTCACTTCAGTTTTTTTCTTTACTTTTCTTTTTTTATTAATTTTTATGTTTTTATATTAATCACAATTATTTCCTTTGTTATCAGCCATAGCCCCCTCCCTCATTGTCACTTCAATTTTTGATCTTAGCCATTCTGATGGGTGTAAGATGAAAACTCAGGGTCGTTTTAATTTGCATTTCCCTGATGACTAAGGATGTTGAGTATTTCTTTAAGTGTTTCTCTGCCATTTGATATTCCTCTATTGAAAATGTTGGCTCTGTACTCCATTTTTAAATTAGATTAACTGATTTGTTGCTGTTTAACTTCTTGATTTCTTTATATATACTGAATATTAGCCCTCTGTCAGATATAGGGTTGGTGAAGACCTTTTCCCAGTCTATAGGCTATCGTTTTGTTCTGTTGACCATGTCTTTTGCTTTACAGAAGCTTTTCAGTTTCATGAGGTCCCATTTATTGATTGTTGATGTTTAGTGCCTTGGTGTTCTTGGTGTTCTGTTCAGGAAGTTGTCTTCTGTGCCAATGTGTTCTAGGATCTTCCTCACTTTTTCTTCTAACAGGTTTAGTGTGTCTGGTTTTATGTTGAGGTCTTTGAACTGCTTGGAATTTATTTTTGTGCAGGGTGATAAGTATGGATCTATTCGCATTTTTATACATGTACAACCACTTTGGAAATCAATCTGGCACTTTCTCAGACAATTAGGAATAGAGCTACCTCAAGATCCAGGTATACCATTCCTAGGCATATATTTAAAAAAATTTTCAAATATACAAGGATATTTGCTCACCCTTATTCGTAGCAGCTTTATTTGTAATAGCCCGAACCTGGAAACAACCCAGATGTCCCTCAGTTGAGCAACGGATACAAAAATTGTGCTACATTTATATAATGGAGTACTAGTCCACAATTAAAAACAAGGAAATCATGAAATTTGAAGACAAATTGTGGGAACTAAAAAAGATTATCCTGAGTGAGGTATCCTAAAGGCAGAAGAACATACATGGAATATACTCACTTATAAGTGGATATTAGACATATAATATAGCATAAACCTACAAAAATCTGTACATCTAAAGAAGCTAAGCAAGAAGGAGGACCCTGGGTAAGATGATCAATCCCCATTCAGAAAGGCAAATGGGGCATACATTGGAAGAAGGAGAAAACAGGGAATAGGACAGGAGCCTATCACAGAGGGCCTCTGAAAGACTCTATCCAGCAGGGTTTCAAAGCAGATGCTAATAGTTATAGCGAAACTTTGGGCAGAGTGCAGGGAATCTTATGAAAGAAGGGGGATATAGTAAGACCGGCAGAGGACAGGAGCTCCACAAGGAGAAAAACAGAACCAAAATATCTGGGCAAATGGGTCTTTTCTGAGACTGATACTCCAACCAAGGACCATGCATGGTGATAACTTAGAACCCCTGCTCAGATGTAGCCTATGGCAGCTCAGTGTCCAAGTGGGTTTCCATAGTAAGGGGAACAGGGACTGTCTCTGACATGAACTAAATATGAGCAAGGGTTCTAGGTAATATCCATGAATGGTCCTTGGTTGGAGTATCAGTCTCAGAAAAGACCCCATACCCAGATATTTTGGTTCTGTTGTTCTCCTTGTGGAGTTCCTGTCTTCTGCAGATCTTACTCTCTCCCCCTTCTTTCATAAGATTCCCTGCACTATGCCCAAAGTTTGTTTAAGATTCTCAGGATCTGCTTTGATACCCTGCTGGGTAATGTCTTTCAGAGGCTCTCTGTGGTAGGCTCCTGTCCTGTTTCCTGTTTTCTCCTTCTTCCAATGTCCGTCCCCTTTGACTTTCTGAATGAGGATTGATCATCTTACCCAGGGTCCTCCTTCTTGCTTAGCTCCTTTAGATGTACAGATTTTTGTATATTATTAGTCTAGCATCCACTCATAAGTGAGTATGTACTGTATCTCTTTCTGGGATACCTCACTCAGGGTTATCTTTTCTAGTTCCCACATTTTGTCTGCAAATTTCATGATTTCCTTGTTTTTAATTGTGGAGAAGTACTCCATTGTGTAAATGTACCACAATTTCTGTATCCATTTCTCTTTTGAAGGACATCTGGGTTGTTTCCAGGTTCTAGCTATTACAAATAAAGCTGCTACGAACATGGTTGAACAAATGTCCTTGTTGTGTACTTCAGCATATTTTGGATATATGCCTAGGAGTGGTATAGCTGGGTCTTGACGTATGGCTATTCCCAGTTTTCTGTGAAAGTGCCAGATTGATTTCCAACGTGTTTGTACAAGTTTATATTCCCACCAGCAATGGAGGATGGTTCCCCTTTCTCCACGTTCTCTCCAGCATGTATTGTCACTTGAGTTTTTTGATCTTAGCCATTATGATGGGTGTAAGGTGAAATATCGGGGTTGTTTTGATTTTTATCTCCCTGATGACTAAGGACATTGAGCATTTCTTGAAGTGTTTCTCTGCCATTCAATATTCCTCTACAGAGAATTCTCTGTTTGGCTCTATACCCATTTTTAAATAGGATTACTTGATTTGTTGCTTTTAAATTTCTTTAGTTCATTATATATTATGGATATTAACCCTCTGTCAGATATAGGGTTGGTGAAGATTCTTTCCCAGTCTGTCGTTTTGTTCTGATGATAGTGACCTTTGCTTTACAGAAGCTTTTCAGTTTCATGAAGTCCCATTTATTGATTGTTGATCTTAGCGCCTGTGCTGATGGAATTCTCTGATTGAATTTTTGGGGTCGCTCATGTATACTGTCATATCATCTGCAAATAGTGATACTTTGATTTCTTCCCTTCTAATTTGTATCCCTTTGATTTCTATTAGTTTTCTTTTTGTTCTTGCTAGGATTTCAAGTACTATCTTGAAGAGATATGGAGAGAGTGGGCAGCCTTGTCTTGTCTCTGATTTCAGTGGGCTTGATTTAAGTTTCTCTCCCTAGTTTGATGTTGGTTATAGGCTTGCTGTATATTGCTTTTACTATGTTTAGGTATGTGCTTTGTATCCCTGATCTCTCCAAGACTTTAAACATGAATGGGTGTTGGATTTTGTCAAATTCTTTTTAGGCATCTAAAGAGATGATCATGTAGTTTTTCTCCTTCAGGTTGTTTATGTGGTGAATTACATTGATGGATTTTCATATAGTGAACCACCTCTGCATGAATAAGATGAATCCTACTTGGTCATGGTGGATGATATCTTTTATATGTTCAGGGATTCGGTTTGCCAGTATTTTATTGAGTATTTTTACATCAATGTTCATAAGAGAGATAGGTCTGAAGTTCTCTTTTTTTTCGTTGGGTCTTAGTGTGGTTTAGGTATCAAGGTGACTGTGGTTTCATAGAATGAGTTTGGTGATGTTCCTTCTGTTTCTATTTTGTGGAATAGTTTGAAGAGAATTGGAGTTAGCACTTCTTTGAAGGTCTGGTAGAATTCTGCACTGAAACCATCTAGCCCAGGGCTTTTTTTTTTTTTTTTTTTTTTTTGAGGGGAGACTTTTGATGACTGCTTCTATTTCCTTGGAGAATATAGGACTATTCAGTCTTTTCTTTTTTTTTTAATTTAAATTTATTTTTATTTAAGAACGAAATGATGAGTGATCGCCATCAACAGCGTCACTGAAGGCCACCTCCCCACCCCCCTTTTTGTGATTTCAATCCCTCGGTAAACGAGCTTACTCGCAAAGCTGTGGTGGTTTCCAGAAGCTGTGGTGGTTTCCAGGTTCCGTCTACCTGCCCCTCCCCTGGCCTACCAGGCTCACGCCATCCACACGCAGGGATGGCGCCTCAGCTTGAATGCATGGGAGAGCCCAGAGCAGTGACAGGAATATTAGGAAAGGCTTCGCCCTCAGGAAAAGGGACCGAAGAGTAGAGCGTGGTGAAATGGGGGTTCCCATAGCCTGGGGCGCCAAAATGGGGCCCTGGGGGCAGAGGAAAGGATACAGGCCCTCCCGGAAAAGGAGACCCTGCCGCCTCATACTCTTCCCGTTGGGAATAGTCAATGCTCGATCGTTTGCCCTTCTGGCGCCGGTTGCAGAACCACACGCGGACCACGTCCTTCTCCAGCCCCAGCTCCTTGGCGATGATGCTAATCTGCTGCAGGGTGGGCTTCAGGCACTGCAGAAACATGCTCTCCAGGTTTCCCCTCACACGGTTCTCAATGCTCGTCCGCTTCCTCTTGCCCAGGGTGAGCCCCACGTCGGCCTGGGTGTACCCCAAGGTGATTCTCTTCTGCTTCAGCAGCTTGGAGAACTCTTCTAGTTCCTTCTTCAGGGCTTTCATGTCCTGGGACTCCTCGGGACTCGGCTCCACCTTCTCCACCTTCACGGCCCCGGGGCGGACAGGGCAGGACCCAGGCGAGGCCCCCTTCGGGCTGCTCTCAGAGCCCACTCCGGCCGGGCCCTCAGGCTGCAAAGGCTCCACGCCAACTTGGGGCACTAGGCCCAGTCCCACCTGAGGGCCGCAGTACGCCATCGCTCCGCAGAACTCTTATGGCGGGGGGGGGGGGGCACGGCGAGATCCCCAGCACCTCGGAGCCTGGGGCAACGCCGGGGCCCGACCCCGGGCATACCGGGAGGCCCTTGGAAGCTGAGCCAGGTTCAGGGGTCCACCCAGCCCGGCTCCAGCCCTCCCGACCCATCACCCCCACCTGGTGGGGGCGAGAAAGCAAAGTCTGGAGCCAGGGGTCCGGCCATGGGGAAGGCGGGCACCCCAAGCAGGGGCCCTGACGCAAGGAGGGCTTACCCAGGACTGCTTCCCCTCCTTCCCCAATCCCACCCTTAGCCTTGACCTCTGGCCCTGCCCCCAGGTGGGTGGAGGAGTAGTCAATCTATTCAGTCTTTTCTACCTGATCTTGATTTAATTTTGGTAAATGGAATCTATCAAGAAAATTGTCCATTTTCCTTGTATTTTCAAATTTTGTGGTACATAGGCGTTTGTAGTAAAACCTAAGTTTTTACACCTTGGGATACACCCAGGCCGACGTGGGGCTCACCCTGGGCTTTCTCTTTGGAAAGGTGTTCAGCCAGACCACCATCTGCCACTTTGAGGCCCTGCAGCTCAGCTTCAAGAACATGTGTAAGCTACGGCCCATGCTGGAGAAGTGGGTGGAGGAAGCCGACAGCAATGAGAACCTTCAGGAGCTTTGCAAAACGGAGACCCTGCTGCAGGCCCGCAAGAGGAAGCGGACGAGCATTGAGAACCGTGTGAGGGGAAACCTGGAGAGCATTGTTTGGATTTCCTCAGTGTCTGTAGTTATGTCCCCCTTTTCATTTCTGAATTGCTGATATGGATAGTTTCTCTCTGTCTTTTAGTTAGTTTGGCTAAGGGTTTGTCTATCTTTTTGATTTTCTCAAAGAACCAGCTCTTGGTTTCATTGAGTCTGTGAATAGTTTTATTTGATTCTCATTTATTGATTTCAGCTCTGAGTTTGATTAATTCCAGCTGTCTACTCCTCTTGGGTGTGTCTGCTCTTTTTTTTTTTCCCTAGGGTTTTCAGGTGGACCATTACGTTGCTAGTATGAGATGTTTCAATTTTTTTCTTGAAGGCACTTAGTGCTATGAATTTTTCTCTTAGCACTGTTTTCATTGTGTCCTATAAGTTTGGGTATGTTGTGTCTTCATTTTCATTGAATTCTAGGAAGACTTTAATTTCTTTCTTTATTTCTTCCCTAACCCAGCTGTCATTTAGTAGGGAGTTGTTCAGTTTCCATGTGTGTAGGCTTTTTGCTATATCTGTTGTTGTTGAGGTCCAGCTTTCTTCCATGGTGGTCAGCTAGAATACAGGGAATTATTTAAAACTTCTTGTATCTTCTGAGGATTGCTTTGTGACCAACTATATGGTCTATGTGACCAACTATTTTGGAGAAGTTTCCATGAAGTGCTCAAAAGAAGGTACACTCTTTTGAATTTGGGTGAAAATTTCTGTAGACATCTATCAGGTCCATTTGATTTAGGACCTCTGTATGTGCCTTTATTTCTCTTTTTGGCTTCTTTCTCGATAATTTGTCCCTTGGTGAGAGTGGAGTGTTGAAGTCTTCCATTATTAAGGTATTGGAATTCATGTTCAATTTAAGCTCTAATAATGTTTCATTTACAAATATAGGCTCTCTTGTATTTGGGGCATAGATGTTCAGATTTGTTATGTCCTCCTGGTGAATTTTTCCTTTGATGAGAATGAATTGCCCCTCCTCATTTTTTTTTATTAATTTTAGTTGAAAGTCTATTTTATTAGAAATTAGGATAGCTATTTCAGCTTGTTTTCTGGGTCCATTTGGTTTAAAAATATTTTTCCAGCCCTTTACTTTGAGGTAGTGTTTATCTTTGTTGCAGAGGTATGTTTCTTGGGTACATCGTAATGTTGGATCCTGTTTCTGAAACCATTCTGTTACTGTGTCTTTTTATTGGAGAGTTGAGTCCATTGATATTGATAGATAAGAGTGACCAATGAATGTTAGTTCCTTTTATTGTGGAGTTGATGGTGTTACTGTGATTAACTGCTTGTTTTCTTTTAAGTTTTGTTGAGGAATTATCTGTATCCTATGTTTACTTGGGTATAGTTGTTTTCATTGGATTGGACTTTTCCTTCTAGTATCTTCTGTAGGGCTGGGTTGCTGTGTAGATATTGTTTAAACTTAGTTTTGTCATGAAATGTTTTGCTTTCTCCATCTATGTTGATTGAAAGCTTTGCTGGGTAGAGTAGTCTGGCTTGGCATCTTTGGTCCCTTAAAGTCTGCATGACATCTGCCCAGGCCCTTCTAGCTTTCATAGTTTCTGTTGAGAAGTCTGGTGTGATTCTGATAGGTTTACCTTTATATGTTACTTGGCCCTTTTCCCTTGCTGCCTTTAATATTTTTTCTTTGTTCTGTAGGTTTATTGTTTTGACTATGATGTGATGTGAAGAGTTTCTTTTCTGGTATAGTCTATTTGGTGTTCTGTAGCATCCTGTATATTTATGGGCATCTCTTTAAGTTCGGAAAATTTTCTGTTATGATGTTCTTAAAAATATTTTCTGGACCTTGGAGCCTCAAATCTTCTTTTTCATCTATTCCTATTATTCTTAGATTTTGCCTTTTCATGGTGTCCTTGATTTCTTGGATGTTTTGTATTTGGGACTTTTCTGATTTCCCCTTTTCTTTGAGAGAAGTATCAATTTCGGCAAGTGTATCTTCAGCATCTGAGAGTCTGTCTTCCATCTCTTGTATTCTATTGGTGATGCTTACCTTTGTGGTTCTTGATCTTTTCTCTAAGTTCTCCAGTTCCACAATTTTCTCTGTGTTTTCTTTATTGATTGTAATTCTGTTTTCATGCATTCACCATTTTCTTCATCTGTTTGAATGTGGATTCCTGTCTTTCTATGAAGGCTTCTATTTTTTTTTTTTGTTCATTTCCTCTCCACGTGCCACTAATTGTGCTTCTACTTGTGCCTCTACTGTTTAACTAATATTGCCTGTATTTTTTTAGAGCTTTTCTCATTTCCTCTTTATTTGCCACCGTATGTGTGGCTATTTCTTTGAGAGTTTTGCTCATTTCCTCTTTATTTGCCTCTACTTGTGTGGCTATTTCTCTGAGAGATTTGTTTGTTTCCTCTTTATGTGCCTCTAATAACTGGATAAGCATAGCTTTAAAGTAATTTTCCTGTGTTTCTGATGTACTGAAGTGTCCATTGATTTGGGGGCGTTGCTGGTGGAGCCATGATGTCCTGATTTTTGTTGGGTGTGTTCTTACACTGACCTCTGCCCGTCTGCTTATTCATAACCTTCACTGTTTGTTCTTGGAGTCTGTACTTCATACTGGTGTACCGTCTTTCTCTGGTGTCTGGAGTATTCTTCAGGAATATGAGAGAGTTCCAATGGTTTAATAGTGTGTGTTGATGTTACAGCTGTACCTAGGGGAGGAAGAGCCACTGGTGCAGAATCACAATTGTGGGGGAGCAAGCGTGCCCATGTGCATGGATGTGTGTCTTGAAGGACAGAGTGCTAGAGAGTGTGGATGCTTGGAATGTGGGGGGGTGCAGGTGCAAGAGGGGGTGCAGTTGCTAGCGCTGTCTGGGGTTGCAGTTTGTTGATACTGTTTGTGGACTCAATGTGCCTGCTCTTATTTCCCGAATACCTCAGTGGTCTACAGTCCTGTCATACTGTAGTTCTAGTATTCAGATCTTTCTGGGCTCAAGAATTGTTTGCCTGAGCTTCACTGGTAGACACGCTCAGCAGGGGTTTCGATGTTGATAATGCTGTACTGAGAATTCCCATCTTGGAGGCTGGTGTTGAAGACCACTGGTAGTCCAGCCACCATGGCAGAACTAGGAAGCTGCTGGAACAGATGCCTTCTGAAATGCCCTGGGGAGCCACGAACTTGATTGGCCTAGTGGAGTCCTCGGCACTATGCTCTGTGCTAGGAGCTGTGGGCACTATAGCCCAGGCACTGTGGGCTGCCTCTGCAGCCTCCACCTCTTCCAAGGAGGGAGAAGGAAGGCTTGTAAGGGGAAGTGCTGGGTGATTGAGTATTCTCTGTTTCCAATCTCAAGCAGGGTTTCTGTGCTAGAGGCAGCCAGCACTGTGCTCTGTGCTAGGAACTGTATGCTCTTTGGACCACCTCCACTGCCTCCACTGCCTTTGCTGCTGCTTCCCCATTGAGTAGGGAGGCCCATTAAAGGGGAAGTGCCTGGGAATTGGGTCCCCAGGTGAAGTTCCCAGAGAAGTCCGTGGTTGACCTGAATCCCAGTGGTCTCAGCTCAGGGTTTGTCCCCTTTCTCCCTGGAAGCCTCTATGTCAATGTCGTGGATTCAGCTCCCTGTCCACGCACCAATTTCGAAGTTTTAGATCCTCTGCCCTTCAGATATGGTGTGCGCTGGTTGCTGCCATCTTGGATCTCTGGTCTCTTTTTTGTTGCTGCGATAAACACCACAACTAAAAGAATTTAGAAGACTACAGGGTTGTTTGTTTTCACCTTGTACTTCAGGTCATAGTCTACCACTGAGGGAAGCTAAGGCAGAAACTCAAGGCAGAAACCTGAAGCAGAAGCCGTGGAAGGATGCTGCTTACTGACTTGTCTTCTACTCTATACTCAGCTTAGAGTCACCTGCCTAGGGATGGTGCCACCCACACTGGACTTGGCCCACCTACATTAATCATTTGTAAAGGCAACCTCTTACAAATATTCCACAGGTAAATCTAATTTTGAGTTTATTCAATAAAGATTTCCTGTTCCTGGCTCGCTCTAGGTTGTATCAAGCTGACAATAAAAACTAACAACTACACTTGACTAGGTTTAGTCAAAATTTTAATTTATTAAATTATTTTATATTTTTAGACTTGTGAATAAGAATATTTTTTTTTTCTGAATTCTTCCTTAGCATGTTCACTACTGGTTTAGGTGAAAGCTGATGGGTTTTGCATACTAATTCTTCCTGCCACTTTGTTGAAAGTGTTTATCAGTTCTGAGAGTTTTCTGATGGGGCCTTTCTTTCTTGTGTTAATTTTTATCTTATTTATTTACTTTACATTCCAAGGGTGCCCCTCCCTTCCTCCCTCTCTCCCTCCCCTTCTCCTTCCTTCCTTCCTTCCTTCCTTCCTTCCTTCCTTCCTTCCTTCCTCCCTTCCTTCCTCCCTTCCTTCCTCCCTTCCTTCCTTCTTTCCTTTGTTTTAAGACAGGGTTTTTGTGTAGCCCTGGCTGTCCTGGAACTCACTCTGTAGACCAAGATGGCCATGAACTCACAGAGATCTGCCTGTCCATGCCTCTAGAGTGCTGTGATTAAAGGTATGTGCACTGCCTTTTGCTTTTGTAGAGCCTTTAGAGTCTCTTATGTCAGAATTATATCATCTGCAAGTAAGTGTGCTTTAATTTATTCCTTTTTTTAAACGATATCCTCCTTGTTTGCTTCTCTTATTTCTTTTTTTTTTAAAGATTTATTTATTATTTATACAGTGTTCTGCATGTATGTATGCCAGCAAGTCAGAAGAGGGCACCAGATCTCACTATAGATGGTTATGAGCCACCATGCGGTTGCTGGGAATTGAACTCAGGACCTTTGGAAGAACAGTCAGTGCTCTTAAGCTCTGAGCCATCTCTCCAGCCCGCTTCTCTTATTTCTTAAGCTAAGACTTCCAGCACAATATTGAATAAGAACTTAGAAAATAAAGTTGTAAAATAAACAGTTTTGTTCCTGATTTTATAGTTCAGATTCAGTGAGGATTTCCTCATTTGGTCTAATTTGTCTGCAAATTTGTTACATGTACCCTTTATTAGGAATATTATTATATTCCTTATATTTCCTGGTTTTTTAAAGGACTTTTATTATGAAGCAATGTTGGCATTATTGAAAGCTGTTTATACAACCACTGAGACCACCGAGTGACTTGTGTCTTTCAGCCATTCATATGGCATATTGGATTTATTGTTTTTCATGTGCCAAATCATATCTGCACCTTTAGACCATCGTAATCATGGTGGATAACATTTCAAGACATGTTTTTAATTATGTGCCCATATCTGTGTGTAGCTATGTGCACATGAGTGCAGCAGTCCAAAGAAGTCAGAAGAAGGTTTTGTGGACCCAGGGGCTGGAGTCACAGGTAGTTGTAAGCTTTTTGACATAAATTTTAAGAACCAAACTCGCACCCTCTACAAGACTAATATGCAATCTTAATCACTGAGTCAGCTCTCCAGCCCATGAATTATCTTTTTGATGTGTTCTTAAATTTGGTTTACTAGTATTTTGTTGGTAACTTTTGCATCTAGGTACTTCAAGGAGATTGGCCTATGAAATACTTGTTCCTGACTCTTTATCTGCATAATAATACCACAGTAATATTGGCAGTGTAAAAACAGTCTGTTAGTGTTCTTTCTTTTTGTGATTTATAGAATAGTTTGAGAAACACTGGTAATAGTTTTGTTTTGAAAGTTTGGTAGAATTTTATCAACGAACCTATCTGGGCCTGGTCTTTTTGGCAGCTGGGAGATTTAAAAAGTTATTGTTTTAATCTCAATGCTCATTATAAGTCTGTCAAATTATTTATGTAATCTTGGTTTAAATTTATAGGTCATATTCATTTAGAAAATTTTCTCTCTCTATTTTAGTTTAGTGGAATACATGTTCTTAAGGTAAGGTCTAATGATCCTGTGAATTTCAATGGGATATGCCATAGTTACTCATTTTCATCTTAACTTCTATTCTCTCTATCCCCCCCTCTTTTGGTTAGTTTCACTAAGAATTTATCTATTTTATTAATCTTTTTCAAAAAGCCAATTTTGTTTTATTTATTATATGCATTGTTCTTTTTAAAATCCCTGTTTTGATAATTTCTGCTTTGATCTTCATCCTTTCTATCTACTGATTTTTGTTTTGTTCTTATTTTTTTCCAAGGCAATAATATGCATCATTAAGTTATTTATTTGTGACCTTTGTGACTTCCTAATGTAAGCACTTGCAGCTATAAACTTTCCTCCCAGAACTGCTTTTATTGTGTTGCAGAGGTTTGGATGCATTATGTTTTCATTTTCATTCAGCTCTACTTTTTATTTTAATGTCCTGCTTAATTTTTCAAGGACCCATTATTCATCATGTGCTTGTGAATGTATTGTAGTTTCTTTTGCTGTTAGCTTGTAGTTTTATTCAAATGTGATCAAATAGAATATAAGAAATATTTAATTTGTTAATGCTTGCTCTGTATCCTAATATATAATACATTTATGAGAAAGTTTAATGGGCCTCTAAGAAAAATTATTTTCTACGGTGTTTGGATGGGATGTTCTGTAGATGTCTGTTAAGTTCCTTGGCCTACTATATCATTTAATTAAGATGTCTTCTATACCTTTGGAATGACATTTTTCCCCCTCCTTGTCCATGGGATAAATTTGGTCTTTCCATAGTGTCTTGAGCATTTTGAAAGCATCAATTATAAGTTCTTATTGTCTTCAAGTTCATACGTTTTGCCTTCTCTTTGCTCTATTCTGTTGATGAAGCTTTTTATGGAGTGCTTTATTTGACTTACTGTGTTTTTCATTTCTAGTGTGTCAGAGATTTTCATCAATATTTCTCTTTATTGAAATTTTCTTTCATAACTTGTATCAATTTCTGCACTTCATCCAGCTGTTTATATGTGCTCTTCTGAGATTTGTTAATAAATTAATTTTCTCCTTTGATTTCTTTACACATACTTAGAATCATTATTTTGAGATGTTTGGGATTTTAATTTCATTTAATGCAATCCCACTGGAGGCCATTATTGTGGGATTAGTACTTTTGAAGGCATTATGCTGCATTGGGTTTCACAGTTTTTATATAACTGCACTGGGATTCATGCATCTTGATTATTTCATCACTTGGATTTTTACAAAACCAGTTATATTCTTTCAATTAAAGTATGTGCAATGTTTATTTGGGTCTAGAGATGATGAAGTTTAGGTACATATTTATGAAGCTAAATCCTTAGCCCAGTAGCTCAGGTTGCTTTATCCAACTTGCATATTACTGCCAAAGTAAAATATTAACTGTGTGAGCAGACACAGCTACTGTATACCTACTCTGTAAATGTCATGCCAGCCAACTAGCAATAGCTATTCTTTCACTTAAACAAAAACTGCTAGAGGATAGATAAACAAAGGTACTATTATGCATAATAAAATGTTAGTTGATGAAATTGGGAATATGAAGAAAGTAGTGGGGTGAGAATATTTCTCTGTGGATGTATAAAAGTATTAGCTTTCCTTAAATACCTATATAAGAAAAGTAACTAGGAGGGGAATGTTGGGATACTGTTAGGGTTCATGGATTTTAATTGTCAAAGCTATGGAAAGTCATATTTAATAAGTTTAAAGAGAAGAAGATAAGGAGGAGTGAAAAAGCTAAGAACAAATGAGTGAATATATTAATCATGCATCAGAAGAATAGAGGAGTCTGCTAACTAGTATATTGGGTAAAGAATTTTGAACAATCCTAAAATTTTAATGAGCAACCTGCTAATTGACAGTAAGATTTTTCTGTGGCATATAGGCTAGAGTAAAGATTTTAAAAATAATAATATTAAAATATGACAAAAACTAACCAACAAAAAGATACAAGATATAAAAGTACAACAGAATAAAAGTATAACTGGCAGTTTTTCTTCCTTGTTGAGAAAGGTTTTGATTTTTTTGTTTGTTTACAATGTTTCATGTAGTAGACTACACCGATGAGAAAGGTGAAATTTTCAGCTCAGGTTCAAACCTATGGAACTAGATTTGCTGTATGTATTGCCCAGTGGAGTTTGGACCAGTTACTCTTTGGAATGAATTTTTATTCCAACTCTGTTGAGCAATGAAATTCTCATTTTTCTAGTTCATTTTCTTTTGAGCTCAGCTCAGTGCTATTGGGGAAGCTGTGGTTGTAGCTGAAATCCTTGGTCTCAGCAGCCGACTTAGTGTTAATGGTTCTGGTGGCTATGAAGGTTGTAAGTCATTGCCTGGGAGGTTTCATGACCTGGGCTAGTCTTTGTGTTCTGTTTCAAGAACCCTGCTTGCCTGGCTTCACCTCCAGTTATTGGGTTCCTCATTCTTGGAACTGACCTCTTCACCAATTGCATCTGCATTCTTTGCACCAGCTTTTTCTGCAGCTCTTAAAGGCTCACATGCCCCAAATTGTATAAGTGTTTGTTTGTGCTCTCTTAGTCACTGTAGATCTGACTAAAAGAAGTAAGCAACAACTTTTAGGTCCTATCTATTTATATGTCTGTGTCTCTATATTTAGAAGAAGTTTTGCTCTAATTTAATTGAAATGATTATCTTCTTTCTTCTACTTGGTTGAGTCTATTGGTGATGCTTTCCACTATGTATTTTAAAATTATTTTATGATTCTTTGAGTTCAATTACATTTCTGTTTTTTTCAAAATGATAATTTCCTTGCTTACTTTCTCTTGAATGCTACTGATTTTCTTTCCAAGTCCCTGACTATATTCATCTGTCATTTTTTTTTGCATCCTCTTTGAGGTCAGTGATATTTACTTCTAAATTTGTGAAATCTTAATCTGGTATGTTATGCAGCTCAGTATCTACTGGTTAGGAGTTGAGAAGTTATGATTTTTTTTTTGAAGCAGCCACACTGCCTTAGCTTTTGTGTCATGCTTCTTGTGTTACTGAGTTGTAATTTGTGTATCTGTTGGCTTGGATATTTCCTCTGGTTTCATTTGGGGATTGTCTTATGATTTGCGATCATAAGAAGAGGATTCATGATCTAGTGCCATTCAGAAAGATGCTGGAAGGAAGTCAACAAAACACACAAAACATAGAAATACTTTAAACGGATGAATTCCCACCAAAAACAAAACAAAACAAAAAAACAACAACAAAAAACCCCCACCAATACCAATAGCGATAGAATAAAAAAAATGGTCAAAATAATGT